CAGTGTTCAACGGGAAGTTTGTCGCGGGTGAAAAAAAGAGTGTGAAATCGTTCAATACGCGCAATCGCGCGTTGTATCACTCGTTGGATCTGCGCGAGTGGTACGATCGAGATGTGATAGATGCGACAATGACCACTCTGGAGGAGTTCCAGAAACGCGACAGCGGTTGGGCGTTGACGCAGATACTGAACCTCACAGTAAATGTGAACAGTCACAATCCGATGCACGCGGGATGTCAGATTAAAATATCGCGCGAGGTTCAGCTCAAACACGCGGTAGTGAACGTACAGTCGCCGGACAATGCGTGTTTCGCGTGGGTAGTGTTCGCCGCGTTGTATCCTAGTGCTTCACATCCTCAACGAATATTACAGTATCCCGCGTACGCGAGTGTGTTGAACCTTGATGGAATAGAGTTTCCAATGACATTGCTCCAAATCGCGCGTTTCGAACGCAACAACAACGTGTCCGTAAACGTGTTTACGGCGGTGGAACAGGGACATGGATACGTGCCACTGCAACTCACATCAAACAAGAAGGAGAAGTATGTGAATCTGTTGTATGTTCCCGATCAACATGATGGACACGTGGGACACTTTGCGTGGATAAAAAATTTATCGCGTTTAGTCAGCTCGCAATTGAGCAAGACTAAACAAATAAAATACATATGCGACCGGTAAGTATGAATGAGTGGTGTAACAGTAACAACAATTTTGAATAAATAAAGTGACTTTTTAAATTGTGAGAAGGTAAATACATTAATCAATGTAGTGTATTGTTTTTATTACAACACATACACAGATGTCTACACTACTTCCGCACGAGTGATAAGCTGGCGGCACACACCGTGGATTGTGAACAATTGAACAACAGCGCAGTCATTCTTCCCGCTGAGGGAAAGAACCGTTTGAAATTTGAAAATTACAACAACAAGGAACAGGTTCCAATGGTGGTGTACGCCGACTTGGAGTGCGTACTCGAGAAACAGGACAAAGAGGAAAACGCATCGAACGCGCACAAGTACCAAAGACACAGCGTGTTCAGCATCGGTTATTACGCGAGCTGCGAGCACATAGACATTGGATACAGATTTCACAGAGGCGAGAACTGTGTGCAGTGGTTCGTAAACGAGCTGCACGATCTCGCGAAACGTGCGAAGACCTTGTTCGCAACAAATGTACCCATGGCGAATCTCACACCAGCGGAGTTCGAGCGGTTTACGAACGCCGAGTGTTGCAACGTCTGCGAACGACCGTTCGAGCGAGATGACACAAAAGTGCGCGATCACTGTCATCTGACGGGACGTTTCAGAGGACCCGCGCACTCCGCGTGCAATCTGAATTACAAACAGGTCTACGTTGTTCCCGTTGTGTTCCACAACTTGTCGGGATACGACGCGCAATTTATTATCAAGGATGTGGCCACCGCTTTCGAGGGTGAGATCAACGTGCTGCCCGTGACAAAAGAGACACTACATATCGTTCACGAAACATGTGAGCAGTACTCGAGATGAAGACAATCAGAAGTGCGTGCAACTGCGGTTCATCGATTCGTACAAATTTCTGAGCACAAGCTTAGAAAAGCTCGCGTCCTATCTCGACAAGAGCAAACTGCGAGTGACTCGAACGGAATTCAGCGATCTCTCCACCGAGGACTGCTCACGCGAAAATGTGTGTTTCCATACGAATACGTGGACAGTGTAGACAAATTGGTGGAAACAAGTTTGCCACCGCGCGAGGCGTTTTACAGTTCGCTGACCAGCGAGACTGTGATGGAGAGCGAGTACGCGCACGCGACGAATGTCTGGCGACGATTCAACATCGACAATTTGGGATCTTACAGCGACCTGTATCTGAAGACAGATGTACTTTTGCTGGCTGATGTATTCGAAAACTTTCGTCGCGAGTGCCTCGCGAGTTACGGACTGGATCCCGCGCACTACTACACGCTGCCGGAATATACTTGGGACGCTATGTTGAAGCACACTCGTGTGACGTTCAAGCTGTTGACCGACATCGACATGGTGATGTTTGTGGAACGCGGCATACGCGGCGGTCTGAGTCAATGTTTAAACAGATACGCCCGCGCCAACAACAGGTACGCGCAATCGTACGATCCATCCGAACCGACGTCGTATCTGATGTACTACGACGTTAACAATCTCTACGGATGGGCGATGTGTCAACTGCTTCCATATGGTAACTTTGCGTGGGTGGAGAACGCGTACGAGTTTGATGTGACAACGGTCGCCGCGGACAGCGACGTTGGCTACATACTCGAGGTTGATCTAACGTATCCGAAAGAACTGCACGACGCGCACAGAGATCTACCCTTTTGTCCGACGCGTGAGGAGCCGCCTGGTAAACATGGAAAGAATCACGTTAAACTGCTCGCCACAGTGTTCAACAAGAAGCGATACGTGATTCATTACCTCAACCTACAGCAGTGTTTGCGATACGGGCTTCGCCTGACGCGAATACATCGAGTACTGCGGTTCTCGCAATTGCCATGGCTGCGCGGATACATCGAACTGAATACCCGATTCCGCGCGAACGCCACCAACGAGTTTGCAAAAAATCATACAAGAATATAAGGCCGATACAAGCCATTCCCAGGATGTTGAGCAGGAACTTGAACGTGCATACATATATGTATACATCTATAACAAGTATTACTTGTAAATTTTTACAAGTAAGTTTTTTGAATTGAAAATTCAATTCGTAAATTCATACGGAATGCGGGATTTGCATCTCACATTCAAAACGCTTATAATTGCAGCCAGCGTAAGTTAAATAATATTTAAGGCTCGTGAAAATGTCATACAAGAATATAA